TCCCTTAAACCCTTACACACACCACTGCTCCTTATATATTAGTTACAAACAAACAAAAAGCCAGAGACAAAACGTGTTTCCAAAGTTCTATGATCACAGAATGCACGTTGTTCCTCCCGTAATGGCTATTGATATTATTGAACCACTTTTTCACACAAGCACCATTTGATCATATGATTATTGACAAGCTTTCATTTTTTTCTGATGTAATGCACTTTCCTACATTTTTAGATTTCCAGGCTGGATTCTGATCCCATAATCATATTGACCTTGCTCCAGCTGGAATGAAGAGGGCTACGAGAAGAACCAAGTATTGTGTGATATGGTAACAGTGACCAGAATTCAGGCTCCTGCAATGAAACTGTTACAGTAGATTAAGTTAATAGTTTTAGATTAAGTCAGATTAAGTTAATTTAGTTAATAGTTTTAACTATTGCTATTACACTCTGTAATCAAGTGCAACAAATAATCTTTCTTTACTTGGAGAGTGAAAGGAAAGATGGGAAGTCTTTCCTCTTACCTTCCTGATGTGTAATTACTTCTAAGTATGTTCTGACTTAGGTCTCCTCTCTTTTGCTGTGAAGGCATGTATCCCTTCATGAAAAAAAATAAATATTATAAATTAAATCCTAATTTCCATCACCTCCTGGAATTCATATATCCATCAGTGAAATTTATGAAAGACAATTTTGAATAAGCTCATACCTTATACAGGGGGAAAGAAAAAAAATTTGTGGTGCACCTCTTTGCTACAGTACTGCAAAAACTTTCCATAAATCAGGAAATAATTCCAGTATTTAATCAACTAGAAGTACCCAAAGTTCCACAGTTTATGGTTAAAAACACATGAAAATCTTATGTCGGATTGGGGCCTCCCAGAAATACCCAGCACAAAGAATCCTGTTGTATAATCCTCCCAAAACATTTGGATTATAAACATGATTTTTCTCACTAACACCAGAACAAATTTCACAAAATGCACGTAAACAAATGGCTGAAGGAGAAAGCCATTCTCCTTTATGAATGTGCAAAATCTCTTTTCCCCCCATCAGAACGGAAACTGCTCATATTTTCCCATATAATCACTTTCTTTTTCAGCTTCCCCTCCTCACTGCCTGCATTTCCCATGACATTTTAACAGGCACAGTGAAGTCTGTGCATAAAACACTGATCATCTTTCTGCAGACGCCGGGACAGAAAAGTGCATATTTTCATGCAAGCCTGCCAGAAACACAAAAAACACGTAAAGCAGACAGGCAGTTTAGCAAGATGTAATCGGAACTGAAATTAAGACCAAGTCCCTCATCACACTTCCCTTGCTGGGAAGGATCGTGCTCGCAGCCTTTCTGGACAGCAGGCATGGAAAACCCCGTAAAATCCAAAGTCAGAGCATGGTTTGTTTTTTTTTTCCCAGTATAGCAGAGGTCATGAATATATTGAGAAACTTTGTGTTGCAGGGAGCTGGATGAATTGATGTGCTGCTTCACTCCTGTGCACCCCACGGAGCCCAGGCAAGAGCCTATATTTAATTTAACGTCAGGCACTTCATTCAAAAATCGGGTTTTAACGAGAATTTGAAGGAAATTACATGGAGCAAATGCAACGTTAATAAGAAATAAGTAAAGAAGAAGAAATCAGAAGAATAAGACAGTCTCTTTGCCCACACTCTCTGTCATCATCAGGAAGCTGCAGAGGATGTAGACAAGGCTCGATGCAAATTTCGTGATTCATCGCTTAACATTTCGCCAACTTGAAAACCACAGACTGATCACTGATGGTTTTACCTTCCCTAAAGGCAGAGAGTCTGACAAATCGTCCCTCCCATATCAATATTAGGAAGATCCAAAGGATCCATATTCTCCTGGCCTTGCACCTACTCTCTTTCCATATAGTTTCCATACTGCCCTCACTGCGGACACAGCAACCCAGTTACCTCCCCGCCAGCAGCAGCCTCCAAACTGACAGCTTTACATTTAACAACTGCCTAATTACCCTGGTCTTAAAGAATTCCTATAGGGCAATTCCAGGCTGAGCACCACTTTAATCACTTTGGCTCCGATTTCTATTTGGATTCGGCTTTTGTCAACAACAGCTTGAGCACTTTGAGCGATTGCTTAAATAACCTGTAAACAAAATGGCCTTTAATATTTTTCTTCATCATTGAAACTGGAGAAGCCTGTAACTGTTGCCTCAATAAAACAACTAATATTTGTCCTTTTTGGTAATCTGAAAACTATTTTTCTGATTTAAACTCCAAACTTTTAATCATAGAATGGTTTGGGTTGGAAGGGACCTCAAAGATCATCCAGTTCCAACCCCCCTGCCACGGGCAGGGACACCCTCCACTACACCAGGTTGCCCAAAGCCTCATCCAGCCTGACCTTGAACACTTCTAGGGATGGGGCATCCACAACTTCTCCAGGCAACCTGCTCCAGTGCCTCATCACCCTCAGAGTGGTGGTAATACCCTGAGGCACATCCAAAACTCACACAATTGCAAACCAGATTCCTGTTCAAGTGGTGGTATGAGATTTCTTCTATTAAATAATACTTGTAATACTCATTACTTTTTACATGATGAAACTAAAGTCCTTAAATCTGTGCAAAAAATCTCCACATCACGGTGCTGTACAGTGGGTCGGTCTAAGAGACCCAGAGGCTGATTCCAGTCAGAGGAGTCAACCATGACATGGAAGTTGTTTCTCACTAATTAGGAGCCCAAACCAACTGGACTTCCAAGGATCCTTCAAGCCCTTCTCATGAGAGCACAGCTCAAGAGTTTTCCTGCTCTGGCCTTGAGCGTTAGACAGAACAAGAGTGGAAGGTGCAAGGAACCAACTCCTGCAGGAACCTGTCCCAGTAGGATGAGCATGGGTCATGCCCATGGTTCATGTCAACGTTTTTTGCAAAGCTCCATCCTTTCTTCAGCTGTGGTCTGGCTGCTGGGAAGGGTGAGGGATACCAGCTGCTGCCCCTCCATTGCTGCTTTTGGTGCTTCCCCTCATGCTCACACAGCCTCAGCTGCGGAGGAAGATGGAAGAAATTCTTCTTATTCACCATTTTCTGCCAGTTTACTCAACTCTTCCTGTCCCCTGACCAAACTGCTAACCCGCCACTGGAAAAATACACACGCCTGGACAAACCAAACGCTGAATATTACTGTGGTCACAGTGCACAGTCATGATAGTTGTGTAATCCCAAAATAAAGCAAGAGCCAAAGACGAAAACGAACCCTGGCATCAGTGTAATCACAGCAAGCAAACTGCAGTGCCACCTGCATTAAAACTTAGGACTGTAAAGGTTTGTAACAAAGTCACAGGAGATCCAACACACATGAGCGCAATAATTCTCCACCTCAGACAGAGCTGTGAGCATGTCCTGCCTCCTGAAGACTGCATAATTACCAGTGATATCATGGATATTTTAATTCAGGGACTTCAACTCGGTGTGGAGATCAGTCCACGTTTATTGGCTTGCTGAGCACCACGCGCCGGTCCCATGCACTGCAGCGTACCCAAGGGTGGGCTGGAGATGCACTCCTAGGAGACCACTGCTTTCTCCAAGTCCTTATCTGCTGAATCCAGCCTTTGGTTTCTTTTTGTGGAATAAACATAAGCGGTGGCTACTTCCCAGGTTTTATTTGTTATATAAAAATATTCAATAAATCTGACCAAAAGCCATTTTAATGCAATGGCATTGCCTGTGA